GGAAGTGACATGTGCAACTTTGGGCCCAGTTCTTAGCTGGTTGATCTCTTTTTCCTGGTTGTCATCACCCTTTTTGCTGAGTGGAGAGGGCAACAAGTAGAGTAGACTCAAAGGAGGAAGCAACAAGTTGAGAATAACAGATCTGGACTGTTTCATAAGCAAGAATTAATCTCTCTCATATTTAAGCCACTATTTGTAGGTTACTTTGTTACAGCAGTTTATTTTGTTTCCTAGCTAATTAATACAGTAACCACAACACACCTCCACTCAGTAGTGGTACAAGTCAGGGTTCTTGTTGCAAGCCACACAAGGATGGGGCAAAGGAGAGGCTTCTACAGTGGGAGGTGGTTTCTGTGTTTCCCAAGACACCACACAATGGGAAGCCCCTTCCCCGCCAAGGAGCAGTGGTTGGATCCTGGGGGTCCATTTTTAATTGTCATCATACTAAATACTCCATAATAATCATAGCTTCCATTTCGAAGAGCGTATCATGTTCCCAGCACAGTTCTATGTGTTTTACCTCGTTACCCATTTAATCGTAACATAAACCCTACAAGGTGAATATTATCTACAATCTTCTTTTACAGATGAGGAAACTAAAGCACAGAGAGGTTAAATAACTTACTCTTCCTCAAACATGTCAAGCACACTTCCTCTTTGGGGCCCCTCCTGTCTGGAAAGATCTTCCCCCAGGAATCCATTCACAGGGCTCAAATGTCACCTTTTCGTGGACACCCTCTCAACCACTTTATTTAAAATTAGGCCGGGCATGGTAGCTCACATATGTAATCCCAGAAGTTTGGGAGGGAGGCTAAGGCAAGAGGATCACTTCAGGCCAGGAGTTCGTAACCAGCCTGCACTACATAGGGAGACCCTGTCTCTACAAAAAATGATAACAATTGGCTGCAAGTGGTGGCACATTCCTGTGGTCCCAGCTACTCAGGAGGCTGAGGTAGGAGGATTGACTGCTTGAGCCCCAGGAGGTTGCACCACTGCACTGCAGCCTGGGCAACAGAGCAAGATCCTGTCTCAGTTAAAATAAAAATAAAAAAATAAAATAAAACTGGATCATTCCCTCCGACCCCACTCTACTACCCATAGGGTAACCATATATTGTATCATCCAAAATTGGATGCTTTTGAGAGTAAAGAGGGGACACTAGGCTGGGTGTGGTGGCTCATGCCTATAATCCCAGCATTTTGGGAGGCCGAGGCAGGCAGATCACCTGAGGTCAGGAGTTCAAGACCAGTCTATCCAACACGGTGAAACCCCATCTCTACTAAAAATACAAACAAATTAGTTGGGCATGGTGGCATACACCTGTAGTCTCAGCTACTCAGGAGGCTGAGGCCCGAGAATCACTTGAACCCGGGAGGTTGAGGTTGCAGTGAGCCAAGATCATGCTACTGCACTCCAGCCTGGAAAACAGAGTGAGATTCCATCTCAAAAAAAAAAAGGCAGGGGCACTAATGATAGTTATTCCAGGGTAACAGGTAAAAACTAGGGCTGTCCCTGGCAAGCCCAGATGCAGGTCATCTTTCCCATCCCCCTTCCCCACTTGATTTATCTCCTGCTAGCCCCTGTCAACGACACATTTTCCTTATGTGTTTATTGTCAGTTTCTACCCACTAGAAAATAAACTCCATGGAGGCACTAATAATGATTCTCTATTTTCTTTACAGCTCTGTCCTCAGGGCCTAGCACAGTGCCTGGCCTATAGTAGTTACTCAATAAATATTTACTAAATGAATTAGTGAATAAATGAATGAATGGGCATCTGGTGCTGATGGGTGGGAAGTGAGGAAGAGGCCATAGATTCTCTTTCAGGCTCAGAAAGGGCTAAAAAGTAGAAGCCTCCCTCCCCTTTACTGCTTGGCTGTTCTACCCAGAGCTCAGCTGCATATTTGGCAGCCAGAGGTCAAGGCCTCAAAGGGCCATGCTTGGTGCAGTCACCCCAGGCTCACAGCACCTCTCTTCCAGCAAGAAAAATCCTCTGGGACCAGGCCACTGTCCTTGTTCTTTCAGCTCCCTGCCTGTCCCCAGTGCCAACTTGCTCCAGCCATGTGGAGCTGCTGGTTCTTGTCCAACCCAACTGTACCCTGTGTCTGTTCTCGCTGCCTGGAACCTGAGCACCCTCCCACTCCACCCTCTGACTGAGCTTTCCAGCACCTGAAAAACTCAGTGAAGATGAAGATATGAGAAAATGAGACATGAGTTTGACTGAAGCATAAATAGGCACAAAACTTTGGGAGGGTAGTTTGGCTGAGGTGTTGAGTTTCAAAGTGCTTGTCACCTACAACCCAGTGATATCACTTGGATAAGCCTGCTCCTGCAGCACTGTTTATGAGACAAAAAAAAAAAAAGAAACAAAACTGGAGGAGTAACGTTGTTAAAATGTCCTACAGATTCCATGTAATTCCTATCAACATTCCAATGACATTTCTTGTAGAAGTAAAAAATTCTAGAATTTATATAGAATCAGAATAGACTCCATATAGTCAAAGCCATCTTGAGCAAAAAGAACAAAGCTGGAGGCATCACATTACCTGACTTCAAAATATACTACAAAATTATAGGAATCAAAACAGCATGCCACCAGCATAAAAACAGGCACATAGACCAATGGAACAGAATACAGAGCCCAGAAATAAATCCACACACTTATAGTCAATTGATTTTCATCAAAAATGCCAAGAACACATAATGGAGAAAGGACAGTCTTTTCTATAAATGGTGTTGGGACAACTGGATATTCATGTGAAAGAAATTAGACCCTTATCTTATATCATATGCAAAAATCAACTCAAAATGGATTAGACTTTAGTCTAATGTAACAGCCAAAACCATAAAACTCTTATAAGAAAACAGGGACAAAATGCCATGGCATTGGTCTGAGCAATGATTTTTTGTGTATGACCCTCAAAACACAGGCAGCAAAAGTGAATATAGACAAATGGAATTGCATCAAACTAAAATGCTTCTGACCAGTCAAGAAAAAAGAAAAAAGAGTGAAAAGACAAACTACTGAAAGGGAGAAAATGTTTGCAAACCATACATCTGATAAGGGGTTAATATCCAAATATATAAGGAATCCAATCCAATAGTAAGAAAGGACAAAACCTGAATTAAAAGTGGGCAAAAGATCAAAAGAAATATTTCCCAAAAGAAGACATAAAAATGGACGACGGGTATATTTTAAAAATGCTCAACATCACTAATCATCAGAGAAATGCAAATTAAACCCACAATGAGATATCACCTCTGACCTGTTAGAATGGCTATGATAAAACATAAGAAAGATAAAAAGTGTTGGCAAGGACGTGGAGAAAAGGGAACCCTTGCACCCTGTTAATAGGAATGTAAATTAGTACAGACATTATGGAAAACAGTATGGAGGTTCTTCAAAAAATTAAAAATAGAACTACCTTATGATCCAGCAACCCTACTACTGGGTACATATCCAAAGGAAACAAAATCAGTATATTGAAGAGATGTCTGCACTCCCATGTTAATTGCAACATCATTCGCAATTCTCAGTCTAAGTGTCCATCAATAAATGAATGGATACAAATATGGTACATTTATATACATAATGGAATACTACTACTCAGCCTTTAAAAAGAATGGAATGCTGTCATTTACAGCAATATGGATGGAAATGAAATAAGCCAGGCACAGAAAGACAAATATCCCATGATCTCATTTGTATGAGGAAGGTAAGAAAAGTTGAACTCATGCAAGCAGAGTAGAATGGTGGTTACCAGGCGCTGGGGCAGGAGGAGGGAGATTGGGAGGATTTTGAGATGTTAGTCAAAGGACACAAAATTTCAGTTAGGAGGAAACATTCATGAAATCTATTGCACAACATGGTGACTATAGATATAACAATGTGTTGTATTCTTGAAAAATGTGCTAAGATAATAGATTTTAAGTGTCCTCATCCCCAAAATGATGAGTATGTTAGGTAACATTAACTAGCTGGATTTAGCCACTCCACAATGTACACATATTTCAAAACATGTTGCTCATGATAAATACGTACAATTTTTAATTTCCCTTATGTACCTCTTCATCTGGCTGTTCATTTTTTATCTTTTATACTATCTTTTATAATAAACTGGCAATAGTAAGTAAAGTGTTTTTCTGAAAAACAACAAACTGGAAACAACTGCTTAGCAACAAGAAACTGCCTGACCAAGTAGAAGGATGTGGTAGTTCTGTATGTACTGATATGGAATATAGTCCGAGATAAATTGTTTAGGAAAATGAAATGCAAGTTGCAAAAGAACCCACAGTATGATGTCATTTATGTTGGAAAAAAGGCCACAATGATGTGTGAGTGTGCGCACTGAATAAAAGAAAGTTCTGGAAAGAAACTAACGGCCAGCGGTGTCACAAGGAGGATGGGCAGTTTATTTATATGTGTGTGTGCGCGCAAAGTTCCGTACTGTAAGAATTTGCTACAGCCTGTGTTATTAGCTTTGTAATGAAACAGGTAGAAACTGAAAAAGTTTAATTCCTCCCAATTCAGTTTAGGTTCTGTCTCCGGAAAACTTTCCTGGATTCCCCAGCCCCCACTCCCCGCCCCATCCCACCACCCCCACTGCCCTCTCTGAGTCTCAATTTTCTTTTCTGTAAGGATTTTCATCATTTAATCTTATTTCTTCTGAATGCACTAAATGGTAGTTATCCTAGCACTTAAGAGGATGTCGGAAACACGGTTCATTGTCTGACCCTTCCGACACTGACTAGTATGAGTACATTCTGGGGGGAATTTAGGAGTCAGGGGAAGAGGTGTTCCAAAAAGACACTACTAGAGGGTGCACCTGTCCAGGAGGAGACTCCTTAAGTGAGCAAAGAGCGTCCGACGTTTTTCTCGAGAGGAGCTGAAGTTTTCCGGAAAGAGACGACCAACTGGGAGGTGATCTCCCAAAACCGGTTGCGGGAATCACCGAAGATTTCCGGAGAGCCAATGAGTAGGGAAGAGCCACTTACCGAGAGTTGCCGAACGTGTACGGAGATAGCCGAAGAGGTGAAAGGCGGGGCCACAGGAGCCCTTCCTGCAGGGAACCCAAGGCTTCAGAGAGCCGAAAGGTTGGGAGGCGTAACCACTCACAGGCCGGAAGTGTCCGGGGCGGAAGCGTTCGGGTAACCGAAGAAGTACCAGGATTTCCGAAGCGAGCCGAAGCATCGCGACAGTTTTCAGAGAGAGCGGGTCGGTCGGAGCTGTACCGCCGAGCACAGTCATGGCGGCGGCCAGACCTGCTTCCCCGGACGATGGCGAGGAGCCCGCGCCAGAGGCTGAGGCTCTGGCCGCGGCCCGGGAGCGAAGCAGCCGCTTCTTGAGAGGCCTGGAGCTGGTGAAGCAGGGCGCCGAGGCGCGCGTGTTCCGCGGCCGCTTCCAGGGCCGCGCGGCGGTGATAAAGCACCGCTTCCCCAAGGGCTACCGGCACCCGGCGCTGGAGGCGCGGCTTGGCCGGCGGCGGACGGTGCAGGAAGCGCGGGCTCTACTCCGCTGCCGCCGCGCGGGTAAGGAGGGCCCGGATCCTGGCGTGGGCGGCCCCGAGGCTCTGGGGCCTGGGCGGGTGAGGGACTCTCCTGCGCTCCGAGCCTCGGTTTGCCTCAGTTTCTCCTTCTGTGCCTTCTGCCGTGGCCAGCCTTTCGGAAATGTTATTCTTTCATCCCTTTCTTCATTCGTTAAGTCTTAAGAAACCACGTGGCCTTGCAGCGTCAAGCGTTTGTCCTGGGGCCGTTCTGCCAGGTTCAAATCTGGACGCTGTCATTATTGCTCAACGTCGAACATCTTTAACTTCCCTGAGCCTTGATTTCCCCATTTGACTCGTTTCAATTTTCGATCATTATCTTTTCATTTATTAGTTTTAAGAAACATGTAATTACAAGTACTTGCCCCACTGGAGCCAGGCTGTCTGGGTTGAAATACTAACTCTGCTGCTTATGTAGCCTTTCAACAAGTTATTTAGCCTCTCACCTTCGGTTTTTTCACCTGTAAAATGGGAGACATAGTAGCAATATCCATGTCATAGGGATGTTGTGACCATTAGAGGAGGTCTGTGTGCAGTGTATTATGTTCGAATGTGTGCCTGGCACATAGTGCTCAGTAAGTGTTGGATTTCATTAAATTGCCTATTTATTGTGCGCCAGCGCCATAAACCTTGTCCTCAGTTGAGAAAGTGACACTCAGAGAGAAGTAACTTGCCCAAGGTTACACGGCTACTAAGTGGCCGGTCCAGGCCCTCAGCTCCGTATGCCTCTGACTCAGAAGTACTGGCTTTTTAATTTTACGCTTCGTGCCTTTCTTTTATTAGTATTTTTTAGGTACTTGTGGGTGCCAGGACATTGTTAAGTGCTGGGAGATCTAGCAAGGGGGGACATTCAGTAGCCAACAAGCAGACACATTGCTGCCCTTTCAGAGACTGAAGATTTCACGAACTTATTTGTGTGTTCATATTTCTGTTTTCAGCCTCTTATGATATGTTTCGTTAAGCAGAGATTGTATTATAGCTGGCTTGTTTATTGCTGTATCCCCATTGATACATCTCTCAGTTTCTAGAAAAGTATACTGAGCCTGGTTGACTTTCAGTAAAAATTCATTTGAGTTTATTGTAGCAGAAACTGAGACTTAGAGAAGTTAATGTAATTTTTTTTTTTTTTTTTGAGACGGAGTCTCGCTCTGTCCCCCAGGCTGTAGTGCAGTGGCCAATCTCGGCTCACTGCAAGCTCCACCTCCAGGGTTCACGCCATTCTCCTGCCTCAGCCTCCAGAATAGCTGGAACTATAGGCGCCTGCCACCACGCCTGGCTAATATTTTGTATTTTTGGTAGAGACGGGGTTTCACCATGTTAGCCAGCATGGTCTCGATCTCCTGACCTCGTGATCCACCTGCCTTGGCCGAGAAGTTAATGTAATTTTAAGATTAGATTAGACAACTAATAAGAAAAGGAGCTGGGATTTGAACCCTGTCCTCTCTGACTGTGAAGATGAACCTCGAAGCCAGCACACTGCTTGGCCTCCTGTTTGTGTCCTCATCAGTAGAAACTGCTCTGACTGGGCTGTGCCTTGCTGTTTGTTTTTGTATTTTGAGACAGTGTCTCACTTTGTCACCCAGGCTGGAGTGCTGCAGTGGCGCAATCTCGGCTTACTGCAACCTCTACCCCCTGAGTTTGAGCTATTCTCCTGCCTCAGCCTCCCGAGTAGCTGGGACTACGGGTGCATACCACCACGCTCTGCTAATTTTTGTATTTTTAGTAGAGATGGGGTTTCACCCTGTTGGCCAGGCTGGTCTCGAACTTCTGACCTCTAGTGATCCGCCTGCCTCGGCCTCCCAAAGTGCTGGGATTACAGGCATGAGCCACCACACCCGGCCTTTGTTTTGTTTGTTTTTTAGAGAGTGAGTGTGACAAATGAAGTTCAGTGAGAAAGGGTGGTTTGGAAGGGAGGAGGAAGCTATGGCCTCCTCAGTTTAGCTGTGGGGTGGTCCCAGGTATAGTCCTGCAGGGGGCAGGAGCAGGGGAATATTCCATTCAGTTGTACCATTCCCTGTAGCATTCCTAAATCATCCTGAAATAAGTAGATATAGATGGAAAAACTGGCTTAATATTTGAAAATTAAGTTTATCCATTAAAAAAAAATCCAACCCAATAACCACTTATGTCTTGATTTCAGGAATATCTGCCCCAGTTGTCTTTTTTGTGGACTATGCTTCCAACTGCTTATATATGGAAGAAATTGAAGGCTCAGTGACTGTTCGAGATTATATTCAGTCTACTATGGAGACTGAAAAAACTCCCCAAAGTCTCTCCAACTTAGCCAAGACAATTGGGCAGGTTTTGGCTCGAATGCACGATGAAGACCTCATTCATGGTGATCTCACCACCTCCAACATGCTCCTGAAACCCCCCCTGGAACAGCTGAACATTGTCCTCATAGACTTTGGGCTGAGCTTCATTTCGGCACTTCCAGAGGATAAGGGAGTAGACCTCTATGTCCTGGAGAAGGCCTTCCTCAGTACCCATCCCAACACTGAAACTGTATTTGAAGCCTTTTTGAAGAGCTACTCCACCTCCTCCAAAAAGGCCAGGCCAGTGCTAAAAAAATTAGATGAAGTGCGCCTGAGAGGAAGAAAGAGGACCATGGTTGGGTAGGAAAATGTGTATGACAGCCACACACAGTGAAGCTCTTTTTTCAAAGTAAATTTGAAGAAATACTAAAAGTATGAGATGAGATCTAAGTAAAGGTGTTAAGATATTTTTAAGTGGTGTGTGATCGTGCCTGTGGTGTCATTATCATCTGCACTTCACTCTACTCAAGAGCTTACTATGTGTCTGAGTCATGTTCTAGGCAGAACTGGGTATTTAAATCTAGGACAGGCTTCTCCCAGATTGTGACATGTATGTCTCAGTTATATGGGTGTGGCATTGAACCACATAATGAGAATGTTACTCTCTTTTTAGTCCTTGTGAGACAAGGATGAAGTCTCAGTGATACTCACTGAGCTTACTGGCCCTCTAACCCAGTGTTTTTTTTGTTGTGTACATGATATATTTATTTTGAAACCAGTTTAATGGGATACAACCAGCATTTTTTAAAATGAAATAGAATTGCAGCATAGAAAATATCAATGTATTGTTTTATGAAACTTTCACATGTATATGTAGACAAGGATATGTACTGAGTTTTGATGTCAAATATATTTCTCTTTCAGGGTCATGATCAAAAAATGAAAAATCTGCTTAACTCCAATTTCTCTTTTAAAAAAGCAGACTTACAGCTTTCAGGCAACTGAAATTCATGTTAACATTGTTTTTATTTTTATTGTTTTGTATTTTTGTGGTTACCTTCTAAGACAAGTGATTGATATAAAGTTCCTTTTAAGTTTATACAGGTAAGCAAACTGAGTTGATTTCTGTCACAGGCAATGAGTAGGTAGAGCAAAAATGATGAAGTGACTTGTGAAGACTGAAGTTTGATGAAGTCTGGTTTAAGGTACAGATAAGCTGAGTGTGGATGCAAAGGTACCAGGAGCTAGCTTTTAACCTTGCCCAGCCTCAATTTCTTTTCTTAGAAGAAGCTGTGTGTGGGTGGGAAGGGAACGGATGTATAATAAAATACCTTTCTTCCTTGTAAACTCCAATCAACAAACATATTTTGAGTACCTTTTACGTTCCTTGGCACCCTGTTGGGTGTTGGGTACAATGGTGAGCCAGACAGACATAGCGCCTGTTCTTTTGTAAGAAAATTTATTTTTATAAAAAATTATTAAGTAGTGTGATGTTTTGATACACATTATGAAATGATGACTACAGCCGAGCTAATTAACACCCATCACCTCACATAGTTACTTTCTTGTTTCTTAATATAGACATTTACAGCTATGAATTTCTCTCTGCACACTTTTCATCACACACTCTCAGTTTTGGTATTTTGTGTTTTTGTTTTCATTAATCTCGAAGTATTTTCTAATTTCCCTTGTGATTTCTTTTTTGACCACTTGATTGTTTAGAAATCTGTTAATTTCCACACATTTGTGAATGTTCCAGTTTTTCTTTTGTTACTCATTCCTAGCTTCATTCCGTTGTGTTGAGAGATGATACAGTCAGTGCCTGTTCTTATGAAGCAAACATTCTGTAATAGTAGGACCAGTACCCTGTTTGTTTCGTTCATCACAGTCAGCACTCCCCCAGTGTCCAGCATGGGGTGGATGGCCAGGAATGGTGAAAACTCCCTTCCTGGGTAGTTGTGACTCGTAGAGAGGAAAAACAGTATCATTGCCTGTTTACTGCATGTCAGGCATTGGGCTGGGAATTTTTATATTGGATCTAAAATAACTCTTAAGTTAAGCGTTGTCCCCATTTTATAGATGGAGAAACTGGCACCAAAAGGTGGGAACTTGTCCTAGACGTCACAGGTAGCCAAAGGTACTTTTACTTGGCTCCAAATCTGTGTTCTTTCCACTGACAAAAGAGATATGGGATATGGTGCGTCTTCACAGTACTATAAGAAGTATTGGCATATAACATTATTTTCAAGGAACTCCAAGGACCACAGGAGCTGACAAGTTTTTCAATTAATATTCCCAACATGAATGAGATGCCTCATTCCTCAGTTTCCTCACATGTACTATAAGGCTAGTACCTACTTTGTGGGGTATGGTTGGCTTATGTGCATTAAATCAACAAAGCCCTAGTTGATATGGTTTGACTGTGTCCCCACCCAAATCTTATCTTGAATTGTTCCTGTAACCCCCACGTGACACGGGAGAGACCTAGTGGGAGGTAATTTAATCCTGGGGGCGGCTACCTCCATGCAGTTCTTGTGATAGTGAGTGAGTTCTCATGAGATCTGATGGTTTTATAAGGGGCTTTTCCCTCTTTTTGGCACTTCCTGCTGCCATGTGAAGAATGATGTGTTTGTTTCCCCATCCGCCATGATTGTAAGTTTCCCGAGGCATCCCCAGCCATGCTCAACTGTGAGTAATTAAACTTCTCCTTTATAAATTACCCGGTCTCGGGTATGTCTTTATTAGCAGCGTGAGTAATACACTAGTACTCACTATGTGCCAGGCACTAGAGATCTAATAGAGGGGAACATGAAGTTTACTTTCCTGGGGAACGTAAAATAAGGCAGTTTCAGACAGTGATGAGTGAAGAGGTGAAGGAAAACCAGAAACACGGGAGATGAAGGGAGTATATCCCAGGCAGGCTGTGGCGTGCGAAGTTGGTGAGGAAGGAACATCCCCGACAGCAAGGCCAGTGTGGCTGGCATCAGTGAGCAAGGAGGAGGAGCAGAACATGCGATGGGAGAGGCAGGGCCAGATCCTGCAGGGCCCTGTTACAAGGTTGGGTTTTGTTCTTAATGGGACTCAGGATTTTTAACAGGGTGACACCTGATTGTTTTGAAAGAGTTGCATTGGTTGCTGGCAGAAAACCATAGACGGCAAGAGTGGAAGCAAGAAACCTGGAAGTGAGAAGGCGACCAAAACCAGCTGGGCCAGTGAAAACAGTAGCCAGGGTGGAAGCCGTGGCGAGCATGCTCCAACTGCTTGGCACAGGACCTGGCAGCCACCGAGGCAGGGAACGCAGTGGAGAAGCAGCCTTGTCTGGGGGAACACCCGAGGTTCGTTGTCTCATGGTCATGGAGATCAAGGACATGGACCCACAAAGAGTGAGTTGAAGAGCAGAAATTTAATAGTTGAAAGAAATTAAACTATTACAAGAGGGGTCCTGGAAAAATGGGTTGCTGGATCTGCGGTGATCCAGCAGATCTGCAGGGGGTTTTATAGATGAGCTGGTGAGGAGGTACTGTCTAATCTACATAGGGTGTGCAAAACTGGTTGGACCCAGGTGTGCCACTGGCATAGGGTATGAATCTCTGGGCACCCCCACCCCAATCTTTTATTATGCAGGCGAGTTCTCTGCCTGAGCTGTGCCATGTTGCCCACTTCTTTATTACTGTACACGTGCTAAAAGGGAAGATGGAGCCTCTGTGTCGGACATGCCTGGCCCCCAAGTAGCCCTTTTCTATTGGCACAGCTGCCAGTATTCCCCTGTGCAAGCTTCCAGCTTCCTTATCTATGTTTGAAGCTGGATTTTTCAGGCTGCTCTTTGTTAGAAAAGAAATGATTTCTGGGACTGCTTTTTTGTTAGAAGGGAAATTCAGCTGATGACTCTTTTGCCCTCAATATCTGCCTAAATAATTTCTTTCTACCTCCAGTCTCAGTGCCAGTGATAATTGGGGTAGCCACAGCTGTCAGGAAGCAGTAATGATCTTTTCTAGTATCCAGAGGGAGAGTGGCAGATATTGGAGACTGGAGAAACGTCACAAATGCCCCCAGGAGGAGAATCGCCCATCTGCACACTTAGCCCGTGGCCCACAGTGGGAAATAAAGGGTTAACAAACGTTCCTAGGTAAACAGTGGATTCCTTCCCTAGTTCCGTGTCACAAAGGGCTAAGGAACCCTCTGCACTTTCAGATCCCTTGATGTCCACGGGGGAGCTGCAGGTGCTTTGCAGTGCTGAGCCAAAAGCACTAGCAGTTTTGTGTGAATCCCCACCTAAACCCAACCAGATGAGGATTATAATCTCCATTTTATGGTGGAGGAAACAGCAATAGGAAATATCATGTCCTAGGGTCACAGTAAGTGACAGCTGGGATTCAAACCCATGCTTTTAACAGCAGCAGCTGACTTTATTATAGAGTTGCATTCTTTGCATGCATTAACCCATTTTACAGAAAAAGCAAATGAGACAGAGAAATTAAGTCCTGCCCCATGCCACTTAGCGAATGGCAGCGCCAGGGAAATGTGATAGGACACTGAGATGCGACCAACACTTGACACAGGCCCACATTCCTGGAACACTGAAAAGTGCTTTTGTGGCCAGTCCATGGGGCCAAGAGAGGTAGTTCCAGAGTAGAGTTGCTTTAAAGCTGGGGGAGTGCTCCAAACAAGCTGTGTTCTTATTGTTGGATGAGCTGAACCGACCATGCCCACAACACGTGCTACCTTAGGGGTTGGGAACACCTACATTAGTGAAGACATGCAGGGCATAATCTCTGATTTAACTGCAAGAGTTCACCATGTTCCTGACCCTGGTTCCAATAAAACTTTATTTACAAATCAGTCAGCCTGTGGGCCATAGTTTGCCAATTTGATTTTTAAAACCATCCCATTAAGATATTTGTCTTGATTATTGAGTTTTTGGGTGCCCCCTTAAATTTGTGCCTCGCTTGCTTCACCCTAGTTCTAACCCAGTTGTCACTGACTGCCAGAACCCTGATGGAGGAGTCCATGTTCTTAAAAGGGCCCGCACCTGCTATGGTTTGAATGTGTTCCCCAAATCTCATGTGCTGGAAACTGCCCAACTTAGCAGTAGTGAAAGATGGGGCTTTTAAGAGGTGATTGGATCCTGAGGCCTCTGCCCTCATGAATGGATTAATCCACATGTGGATTAATACATAATGGGTTATTATGAGAGCGGGACTGGTGGCTTTGTAAGAGGAATAGAGACCTGAGCTAACATGCCCAGCACCCTCATCATATGATGCCGTGTGCCGCCTAAGGTCTCTGTAGAGTCCCCACCTTCAAGAAGGCTATGCCACCACCAGATGTGCCCCCTTGACCTTGTATTCCTCCATAACAATAAGGAGTAAACTCCTTTTCTTTATAAATTACCCAGTTTCAAGTATTCTGTTAAAAGCAACAGAAAACAAACGAATGCAGCCTAGTTCTTGGGGAACTAGGAGTCTTCCCTTTTCTTTAATTCTAGGCACCGCAATTTCAATGGACTGCACTTTTCTGCCACCAGGGGTCGTAAGTTACTGTCATTCTCGGTGCGAACAGGTAAAGAAACCTCCCTTCACTTTCTTCTCTTCCTCCTCCCTCCTTCCCCTCTTTCTTCCTCCCCTTCTTTTCTCCCCTTTTCCTTCGTCTACTTCCATCTTTTCTTCCCAAGTCCCGGCCTCCTTTCCTCCCCTCTCTCCCTTCCTTGAACATGTTCATTTATTCACTCAACACCACCTTAGCTGAGCACCTATGTGTGGCAGGCACTGTGCTAATTATGCACCATGTAATGAGCGAGACAGACGTGAGGATGTCTGGTTCCTTCCGGTCTTAACGTTTTCATCCATTCTCTCTTCACTCACTTCTTCACTGGGTATTTAGTGAGCACATGGGCTGTGTCTGGCTCTTCTGAAGAAGCTGCAGGGATGACAATGTCCAGCTGCAGCCTAGGGCACCCTTGCCTCTGTCCTGGCCCCTTCTGTTCTTCCTCACTCAGCAGCCCAGGGGACCCTTTTAAAGCCAGAACATGCCACTTCTCTATTCACAAATATGCTGGCTTCCCAGCCCATGTCTCCTTGTTTACCAGGTGCATGGCCTGGGATCCCCTCCTCGTACCTCTCTGAGCCTCAGTGTCCTCATCTGCAAAATGGACTCACAATGGTGCTGCATGGTGGAATTGCTGTGAGTATTGTAACTGGTCAGGATCCCTAGGAAGCAGACTCTGAGACGCGATTGAGCTGCCCTTGGGATCAATATCCACAGCACGGAGGACACAGGAGAGGGCAGAGGGAGAACTGGAGCTGAGACCCAGCAGCAGCTTCGCTCAACCCTGTGGGAACTCTGCAGCTGAAATGGCTCTTCAGAGATGTCACAAGATGGCCTGAGATGGCCAGGACTTTGCAGTCTCACATTAGTCACTGGGGGGTCACCCCTGGAAGGGACATGAGCTCAGGCAAGGCCACTCTCTGCCTACTGTGAGGCTATCCCTGGAGGAGCTGACCACAGGAGCTGACTGCTGACCACTCGCCCTGCCTCTGGGGCAATCAGTCCTTCCTTAAGGCATCTGGGTCGCACATCCATGTCCACCACAAACATCCATATAAGGAGGTGCGTGGAGCACTTGGAGCACTACCACAGTGCATGGCACATGGCAACAATGAGCAATATCGTTATGATGTCATTTAGGTGTCTACTATTTTTAGAGAGCAGCAAACAGGTGATTATAATACAGCTCCATTTGTTCCCCTTATAAGCTAAGGGTAGACAGGATGCACTTTCCCACATCGCCAGTCTGCCATTCCAAATCTTCTGAATCAAAGGTGTGAGATTGGCCTGAGAATCTGCATTGCTAACAAGCTCCCAGGTGATGCTGAGGCTGCTGTTCTGAGAACGCCTACCTGAAGGAAAATCAAAGTATGTCATCAGAAAAATAGGAAATAGATGCTGAGAGGGCAAGAAACAAAATACCATCTGCCATACCCATTTTACAGCATTATTGCCTACCAAAAGTCACCCTCCTTTTTTTTTTTAAAGACAGAGTCTTGCTCTGTCATTCAGGCTGGAGTGTAGTGGTGCGATCTCAGCTCACTGCAACTTCCACCTCCCAGGTTCAAGCGATTCTCCCACCTCGGCCTCCCCAGTAGCTGGGATTACAGGTGCCCACCACTACACCTGGCTAACTTTTGTATTTTTAGTAGAGATGGGGATATCACCATGTTGGTCAAGCTGGTCTTAAACTCCTGACCTCAAATGATCCACCTGCCTTGGCCTCCCAAAATGTGGAATTACAAGTGTGAGCCCATCCCCTCTTTTTTTTTTTTTTTTTGAAATGGAGTCTCATTCTGTCGCCCAGGCTGGAGTGCAGTGGTGCGATCTCGGCTCACTGCAAACTTCACCTCCCAGGTTCACGCCATTCTCCTGCCTTAGCCTTTCAAGTAGCTGGGACTACAAGTGCCTGCCACCATGCCCGGCTAATTTTTGTACTTTTAGTAGAGATGGGGTTTCACTGTGTTAGCCAGGATCGTCTCAATTTTTGTATTTTTTAGTAGAGACAGGATTTTGACATGTTGGCCAGGCTAGTCTCAAACTCCTGACCTCAAGTGATCTGACTGCTTTGGCCTCCCAGAGTGCTGGGATTTTAGGCATGAGCCATGGCGCCCAGCCTACCCTCCTTATTCCTTTTGGACAGAACCCCGATTTATATAGATATTTTTAGGTGAAGATAACTTCACCTCAGGAAAGGTCACATTGGTCCCTGATTAGGAATGGGCATGTGTATTAGGCCTTTTGCATTGCTGTAAAGAAACACCTGAGGCTGGGTAATTTATAGGAAAAAGAGGCTTAATTGGCTCGTGGTTCTGCAGGCTGTACAAGCATGGCTCCAGCATCTACTTCTGGTGAGGGCCTCAGGAAGCTTCCGATCATGGAAGGCAAAGGGGGAGCAGGCAGTGTGTGTCACATGGTGGGAGCAGGAACAAGACAGAAGGGGAGGAGGCAGGCTCCTTTAAACAAACGGCTCTCTTGTGAACTAACAGAGCCAGGGCTCACTCAGAGATTACCACAGAGAGGGCAGCAAGCCATTCACGAGGAATCTGCCCCCATGATGCAGTACCTCCCACCCGCCCCGCCTCCTACACTGGAGGTCACATTTCAACCTGAGATTTGGAGGGGACAAACCTCCAAACCATATCAGCATGTGACCGTTTTGTGGCCAATAAGATACAAGAGCAAATCTGCGAAGATTCCTTCTGTGGAAGATTTTGCTTCTAGAAGGTGAGGAGATGTAAGAATTCTCTCCCTGCTCGGAGACCAGCACATTCCCATCAACAATTTCCGTTTTTCAATGCAATGACAATAACCAGAGGTTCAGCAGCCATCTGGAGACCATGAGGCCACCCCTGATGGTAAAGAGTCAATGAGAGGAAGATGGATGATGAGGTGGAGGGATGGGCAGAGTGTGAGTCTGTTCTTAGTGACCTCAGACCTTGCTTTCTGGACTTATATGCACAGGCAAACATCTCCAAAGCTGAAGCTACTGTAAATCAGATTTTCCATCACTTGAAGCCAAAAGCATTCCTAACCAACACAGATTCAGACCCCAGGTCCCCAAAGCCATACTTGTTCATAGCATCTTACTGCCTTTCACCGTCAGATTGGGGCCTCTCTGTTTAGATCAAAGTCAAGGAGACAGACAAACTCCAACCCCTTCTTACCAAGGTCTGGGAGGTGAGAACTCCGCACTGAGACGTAGTCTACTCAAGCCCTGGCCAAAGTCTGCCACCAACTCCCTCTGTGAGTTTGGGGAAAATTCTAGACTTCCCTGGGCCTCAGTTACTCTACCTGTAAAGTGGAAGATTTGATCTAGATCCAGTGAGTTGCTGTCACTCCAGCCAGTTTTCTTGGGTTCACGTAATGTTTGCTTTTTAGTTGCCAATGTTAAACAACTTCATATGCCAGTGTTAAACAATTTCAAACACATATGGATGGTTTCATTTGTAAAAATCCAGACATCTGGCTTCTCTGGAAACATTTTCAGGAGATGTTGCCATGCGGGGCCCCTGTTCTAACACATCTTCTTTTAGAGGGGGCTGTGCTTTCCAATTTGCCCCAGTCTCCACTGCTCCCTATTGCTCTTTGGCTCTGAGTCACTGTTTATCATCACACTGGTCCCATTGTTCTCCTTACAGAGGTAAGAGGAGAGTTAGATATGTCTTACTGCTCTTGTTACTTGTCCCTGAGAGCATTTGAGTTTGCAACCTTTAGATAAGATGGCGTGTGTCTTCCCCAGGGCCTCACAGGCATCCCAAAACTCAACAGGTCCCAAAACAAACCCCTGGTTTCACCCATGGTCTCTGCCCCCATCATAAACTTGCCATCTTAGGAAATGGCAGCCCCAGGAATCCAGAACTTCACCCCAAACCTGCGGTCTCTCTTTGACTCCCATCTTTCACCAGCTCCCCTTGCCCCCATTCAATCCAGCAGCAGATCCTGCAAGCTTTACTTTCAAAATATAATTACAAAGTTGGGAGAGTGGCTGCCTTTGGGCAAGGGGCAGTGATTTGGAGGGGGCTTCTGGGGCTTCTGGGGGGGATGGACATATTCTATTTCTTGAGCTTGATGCTGGTTATGTGGGTGGATTGAGTTTGTAAAACTTCATGAAACTGCAGGCATGTTTATATGTGTAATTTTCAGTATTTATGTTGTACTTCAGTAAAAAGCTAATGAGGCCAGGTGCGGTGGCACCTGCCTGTAATCCCAGCACTTTGGAAGGCCGAGGTGGACGGATCACCTGAGGTCAGGAGTTCAAGACCAGTCTGGCCAACATGGTGAAACCCCGTCTCTACTAAAAACACAAAAATTAGCCGGGCATGGTGGTGGGTGCCTGTAATCCCAGCTACTCGGGAGACTGAGACAGGAGAATCGCTTGAACCCAGGAGGTGGAGGTTGCAGTGAGCCAAGATCGCCACTGCACTCCAGTCTGGACAGGGTGAGACTGTCTCAGAAAAAAAAAAAAAAAAAAGATGAATTTGGAACTACTCTCTGTTCCCCCTCCTGGCCACCCTGGCATAGGCCATGCTATCTTTTGCCTGAATCCCTGCAGTTGCCCTTCATGGTTCTCCCCCCTTCTGCCCTCGTCCCCACTGTTTCCACGTAGCCCAGGAATTCTATTAAATCTCAGTTCAGATCTGCCAGGCAAGGTGGTACATGCCTATAGTCCCAGCAACTAGGGAGGCTGAGGTGGGAAGGATCGCTTGGAGTTCAAGGCTGCAGTGAGCTGTGATTGCACCACTGTACTCCAGCCTGGATGACACAGTTTAGTTTTAGTTAAAAACAAACTTAAAAAAAAAGGGGAGGGGCCGGGTGCGGTGGCTCATGCCTGTAATCCTAACGCTTTGGGAGGCTGAGGTGGGCGGATTGCCTGAACTCAGGAGTTCGAGACCAGCCTGGGCAACATGGTGAAACCTTGTCTCTACTAAAAAAGAAAAAAAAAAAATCAGCTGGGCGTGGCAACATGTGCCTGTAGTCCCAGCTACTTGGGAGGCTGAGGCAGGAGAATTGCTTGAACCTGGGAGGTGGAGGTTGCAGTGAGACGAGATCGTGCCACTGCACTCCAGCCTGGGTGACAGAGTGAGACTCTGTCTCCTAAAAAAAAAAAAAGAAAAGAAAGAAAAAGGAAAACCACTCCACTTTGCCCCCACTAACCCCAGCACTCCCCATTCTGACCCCTCTGCTGTTCCTGTCCCCATTCTGACCCCTCTGCTGTTCCTCTCCCTGCTATTCCCCTGGGTCAGCCACACTGGGCTCCTTGCTGTACTTCCAACATGCCAGCCTTGCGCACATCTTAGGGCCCTCACAGCTGCTATTCCCTTTCCCTGAAACACTTTTCCCACTGATCGCCACATGGCTGCCTCCCTCATTTCCTTCAGGTCTCTACCAAATGCCACTTTGTCTGGGAAGCCCCCACAGCACCCGCACCCCACCCCCATTGATTGCCCAACTTTGTTCCTCTCCAGCGCATCATGGCCCCCGATAGCCTCTGTATTCACTTGCTCATTTGTTTGCTGTCTATGGCCCCCTCTAGAACCTGGGCTCTGGGCAGGGAGCTCTGTTTGGTTCACTGCTCTAGCCCTAGTTTCTACCATGGTGCCTGGGATTTAGTAGGTGCTCCTTAGGTATTTTGAATTGAATTGAATTCTCTCTTCCAAACCTAGCTGCTTGTTGGAAAGAAAATCAAGGATCCGTGTGAGCCTTCCTCTGATTCCTCCCACTCCCCCAAACACACACACACACACACACACACACTCGTGCACGCACGCTCCCTGCCTACCCACTGTCTCCCCTGCTGGAGGCAAAACAGAGTATGGTCCTGGCCTGAGGTTTGGAACAAAAAACAGAACACTGGGGGTCTGCTGCCGATCAAAGGCCTCTCCGTGTTTGTAAACCTTAACTCTTTGCCCGGGATGGAGGAGGCCAGGGGATGGCCCAGAACCCAGGGTTAGTCAACGTTCCAGGCCAGGAAGGCCCAGGCCTGCCTCCTTCCCCATAGTGAGGAAAGGCCCCACAAGGCCAAACTGCTTGACTTCCCCCTCCAGGGGAAAGAAGGGGGAACTAAACCCCACTCCAGTCTGAGGGCTCTCTGCTGGGACCTGCATCAAAGCCAATATTGTTCTTGGAGCTGCAGAGACCTCAAACAAAATGTCACACTGAGAGATGTTGACGGGGTATGGGGGTCAGGGTGCGGAGGTGGAGGGGAGGGGAACCGAAAGTCCCTTCTGTGGAGGGAAGAATGGAATTTGGTGCCAAGATTCCCCTCATACTCTCTCCCACTGCCTACCTTATTTTTCTTCATAGCACTAAATTCCACGTGACATGCTGTGTATTTCACACACGTGTCTTATCACAGAGCTACTAAAATGAAAACTCTGTGAGAACAAAACTGGTGTCTGATTTGATTACTGTTGTATCCCCAGCACCCAGAATGATGCCTAGTACACAATAGGTGCTTAATTAATCCTTGTTGAATGAACAATAGTCATGATTTTTACTGATATTTCTAACAATAAAACCCAATGATGTAGAACGTGTTTCATCCTTCGATATTTATTGCTTCTCTCCATGTTACAGGCACTGAGAGAGTGGCAGGGGGCGACTGGGACTCCCTCGTTCCCCTGGAGTTTAACCTAGTGGTAAACACTTTCAGACGACGAATCATGCTATGAAGGAATAACTCGGGGATTTTGTACAGGGTGAGTGACGTGGACTTGAGGAAGGCTGCGTTTCATTAGATCAGGAGGTCAGGGGTGGAGACCCTCTGAGGAGGTGACATTTGAGCTGAGGACTGAGTGAGTAGAAGGAACCAGTCACGGTGATGGTGGTGGGAGCTTGGGAAGGGTGCACAGGGAGATCCAGGCAGACTGAGCATTTGTAAAAGTAGAGAACTTGCTATGCTCAAGGAGCAGAAAGAAGACTGCAAAGAGGACAGTCCCCAGCAATGGAAGGGAAGGGAGGGAGGGCTGAAGGACCAGATAGGACCTGATCGTTCATGTAAATGCCTAGTACTGTGCTTGGCACACAGCAAGCCTCCATAACTGGGCTGATGACCATAGTTAATATATTTATTCATACCTCACATAGCGTGTTATTTCCCAATTAGAAATCATACTTTCCTGTAATTAGGGGTTGATAGGTACCTGGTCCTGTGCTAAACGAATAAACAGGAAAAGCACTTAACAGTGCCTGGCTTTTCATTCTTTGAGCCTTATCATAAACCTATGATGTAGTTGTTTCCATTATCTACATTTTCCATGAGGCCATGGAGGCTCAGAGGGGTGATATGAGCCCACCAGGTACACAGTTTCAGTGTTAAACATCTGCTTGACAAACTACCCCCCAAACTTAAACAATAATCATGCAGTAATATATCATGATTTTGTGGGGCAAGAATTAGAGTGGGGCTCAGCTGGGTGATTCTTCTGTTCTCCATGGCATTGAGGAATGTCACGCAGGGTCACTCAGCCATCAGATGAGCTCATCTGGAGGGCCTAAGACAGCTTCACTCATGTGTCTTGTGCCTTGATGGGGCTGGCTGGAAGTCTGGGCTCAGCTGTCAACCAGAGCAGATACTCATGGCCTCTCCAGCATGGCAGCCTCAGGGCAGTAGTCCAGGTCTCCAAGGACAAGTGTTCTAGAAATCAGGCAGAAGCTGTGTGGCCTTATTCATGCCCTGGAAGCCATATCAGGTCACTTCCACAGTAAGCTGTTGGTCAAAGCAGTCAGAAGCTCACGTAGGTTCATCAGGAAGGGGCATAGACACTGCCTCCCAGTGGAAAGGGTGTCACAGGATTTGTGGCTATGTTTTATAACCACATATGGACTGGCGTTTGAACTGCCTACCCCACTAAATGGGGAGCCGCATGAAGGAAGGATGCTGCCTGCCTCATTTCATGTCAGATCCCCAGTGTCCAGCACAGTGTCTGGTACAGGTTCGAATTCAGTAAATGTTTGCTGAATGAATAAATGAATAGGTGATTCCAAAATACATACTCCTGTTACCATGGGCTCAGCAGAGCTTGGGTATGAATGACTACTGGTTGGTGCAGCACGAGGAATACCAGGAATGCTGACAGCCCAGCCTTCTGGTGAGAGATTACCAAATGTTGGGATTTGCACATCAATTCAATTCAACCCAACTCATATTTCTTTCCCACCCATGTGCCAGGCAGTGGAGAGACAGCTGTGTCTGAGCAGGCATGGCCTCTGCCTACTGGAAGTTCAAAGCCACGCTTTCCTTCTCTTCACATGAGTTAGCTTGAAGTCTAGTGGAAGGACCCCTGGACTGGGAACTGGCCATAATTCAGACCCTGATGCTCTGGGTGGTATTGGAACAGACACTGTGACCCTATTTGTTGACCTGTTGAGTGGGACAGGTGTATCAGATTGGATGACTATGAAAAAGCCCCTCTAGCTAGTGGGAGTCATAGACATGTGCAGCTTGGATTCCCCTTCAAACTGGGACTTGCTGCCCAGTCATTATTAGCTCCTTTGGGGACTGCCTTGGTTTTCAAGTCGAAGTAATGCTCTTCTCAGGGAGGCCCTCAGCTCAGAGGCTGGTTGAGCAAGATAAGGGTACAAGTATCTA